CCTACACCAAGAGAAATGTTACACTACACAAAGTAATGCAACTATTCTCACTATCTTAAAGTTTACCCTTTTGGAGAGCTTCGAAATCACTTGATTCTTGAAACCAAGGCTCTGGTTCTTCAAAATAAATCCTTCCTTGAGTTCTTGGAATTCTGCTGCGCACACCTGCGACACGCCGAACGTTCCACACACGACAAAATAGAAAACCGCACACGACACGCAAACGACGACGTGACACGCGACTAGCGATAACTCGCTATTGACTTGACACACACATTCAAAATCATGCCTCATCATTCACACACTATTGTAAGCATGAAATATATATTATTTCATGCCCTCATACCATTCCATGCACACACGCATGCACGCACACGGACAACAAGCCGAATGCAAACCGTAGGGTTGAACCAACATCCAGTGCCTCCAGGCTCTGCAGGGTCTCCAGCTCGAGCCCCTCCAGCTCCAGCTCCCCCAACACTACCAGTCCCGGCAGCTCCAGTACCCCTTGTACGAGCACCTCCAGGACCAGCACCCCCAGACCCGGCACACTCAGACTCAGCACCCCCAGGCTCCGCACTCCCAGACGCAGCACCCCCAGACGCAGCACCTCGAGCAGCACCTGAGCCGACAGCTACCTCAAAAGGCAGAGTACCAGGGAGAGGGTCTACCTGAGATACACCTGAGGGAGCAGGACCCTGGGGGGGGAGGGGGTCTACCGGAGGGGGACCTCGAGCAAGGAAGCGCGGCGAGGGTGGGGGAGGGGCAGAGCGGTAGGGGAAGAGACGGTAAAAGGGAACCGACTCGTCAAACGTGACGTCCTGAGAGGGGATGACACGGCGCTAGGTGGGTTGGTAAAACTGCCAGCCAGGCGCGTCAGGGGGAAAGCCAAGGAAGACACAGGGAAAAGCGCGGGCGGAGAGCTTGTCCACGGACGTATCGCGAACAAAGGCACGAGAGCCCCAGACCCGGAACACTGACACATCGCCAACCTCTCCTGTCCAACGCAGTGTCGGCGAGGTCTCCGGCAAGGAAACGACCCAGTGAAGCAAGGTGGGCGGCGCAGCTAGATCTCCTCGTGCAGGCTGCCCTATAAGAAAGCTGTGTTGAAGTCCAGAGAGTGCAACTCGTAGTCACGCTGAGCAGCGACGTGCAGCAACACCCGAAGAGTAGTCATCTTTGGGGTGGGGGAGAAGGTCTGGAAGTACTCAACCCCCTGTCCCTAACTGAAGCCTCGAGCAACGTAACGCGCCTTGAAGGCAGGCGGAGAACCCGGCGGCCGCTTCACCCTAAAAATCCACATGCCATCGACTATGTTCGCCCCAGGTGGGGGAACCTCGTTGACGTAGGTGCCTGTGGACTTCCAGGATGCCATCTCGACATCTATGGCTGCCTGCCACTGAGAAGAGTAGGGACCCGTAATCGCCTCTGCGTAAGAGCGTGGGGTCGGGACGTCTGGTGCATCCGGGTCTCCCTCAGGGGCAAGCAGCATGGAAGCGAAACGAGGTACAGCAGCTGCAAGACACTCGAAGTCCTCCTGCCTGTCCTCAAGGACGTCCGTGCCAAGAGCACACTCACCCCCGACGGACGGAGGACTGGCAGACTCAGACTCAGCAACAAGAGCAGTGGTGTAGTCTAGACAACAGGCAGCAGCAAATTCAAGTAGCTCAGCAACGAGGCCAGACGCAACACAAGTCTCAAGGGAAGCGTCAGTGACAGCAGCGTCAACTGCTTGACGGCCGAAGTTGACGTTGCGGTGTTGTCGATTGCTGCTGATTCGGGCAGTGTGTGCGCGGATGACCGGATGTCTTGCAAAGGTGACAAAACGGTGGGACGTACTGTTGTACTTGTCGGTTGTTGTTGTTGTAGTGTCGTTGAGTGTGGAAGGCAAACTCCGGTGCTAATGCTTTGTTCTTGTGTCGTTCTTCGTGCAGGTCCATGTCTTGCTGTTCAGCGTGAATTTCGGCGCAGAGTGCTGCTTCGGAGATTTTCCCGTGAGCTCGAAGAAGTGCTCGAGTGGAGCGCCAATGAGGACCAAGGCCGTCGATGATGACTGTTACGAATGCTTCTTCCGAAATTGATTCTCCGCATCGAAGGAGTCTGTCGCGCAGTCCGCGACATCGGCTAATATAAGCCATTCCCTTTTCGCCGGGTTTCATTTCTACTGTTGTCAACTGTGCCATGAGACGACTCTGGTTAACGTTGTCTGTTGCTTGATACAGGTTCTTTAGATGGTCGTATGCCAGCTCGGCGGAGTTGCCGTATCCTCGATAAGAACGAATGTTTTGTTGCTCGTTTGGCGTCAAGTTTCGAAGAATTATCGTATACGCCATCAGCGACTGATACGTATATTGTTGCTTGTCGTACTGTGTCCCATGTACTGGATATGGCAGGGACCCGTCGAAGAATCCGAGGATTTGCGCGCCTTCCATCATCAGCTCAAACTCGAAAGACCAGGTCTAAAAATCCTTCCCGTCGAAAAGCGTCGATGTTTGTAATTTGAGAACGTGTGCAAATTACGATTGCACCTGAAGTGCGTCCAGTGTCTTCTCTTGTCCATGTGAAGACTGCGGCTGCGGCGCGAAACTGACAGAGCCGCGTTGAGGCTCATACGGAGCAAAGGTAGGTTGTTGTTGATTTCCGCGCGCGTATGATGAACCATCAAGACTCTTTGGTGTTGCTCTGTCGTTGTTGTCGCTGTTGTTTGATTGCGCAGGAGCTGCTTGCTGGTGTTGCTCGTAGAAGGACATGAAGGAGAAAAATTTCTCCATCATACTTGGGTCGAAGCTTGTTGCTTGGTTTCCGGGAGTTTCCGATGATTCCGCAGCTGGTCTTGTAGCTGTGCCTTCTTCTGTCTGCAGGCCAGAAGCTGGAGGTGGAGTAGGAGTAGTACCGAGTGATCCGTTGGAGGAGCTCCTCTCCTTTCGTGTAGCCATGACTTGTATTGTAAAAGGTTAAAAGGTGATCTTGTCCTGCCTTGCTCTCATACCATGTTGGGCTGAGAAAACCCCTTAGGAACTTTCAGGACTAAGATCAGGTGTTGACGTAGAGTTGTAACAGCGGAAGCGTTTAATAAAGAGTTGTCTTGAACCACCTTGTACTAGTGTGTGAGAACAAGATAAGTTAAATAATAGCAAAGAGATACCGTAATCACCCGGACATAACACCCTAGGGTCTTACTTTAAATACAGCAAAAAAATGGGGGGGGGCTTCTCATAGGAAAAAGCTACATACCACCCGGGTGCATATATATTTACCTTTTTTTAGTGTAAGGGTTTCTATAAATAGGCAGCTTGGGTGTTTTCAAGGTTGGTTTAGCATCACAGTTGGAAGCGAGATTGTCAGTTTCGACGACAACATTGACTCCTCCTTGAAGTTGCGAGGTGGCACCTCTTTGGCCACTTGATAGCGAAAGAACTACCAGCGTGGCAACAGTGAAAAAGTGGGACGGAGGTGACCCCAGCAGATACTTTCGAAATTACCATGTAATTTCGTGCAAAAAGTGATCGTCGCGATGTCCCCCCGTCATTGCACATACTCGTTAACACCTAAATAAGGCATTCTGTCAGGGCTGATTTTATCAGGGTAATTACCCTGATTTCAGGGTGATTTCAGGCTTTCCACTTCGTCGAGACTGAAATTTCAGAGTTATTGAATTTCTAGCCCTGATCCAATCAGAGTAATAGTTTAGCTATCCCTGATTTTGAGTACAGTGTAACAGACTAGGCTGTTAGTGGACCCTGACTTAACAGAGTATCGACTGTGTGGACCCTGACTTATCGAGAAGAAGTTTCTCGGAAGTTTCCTTCCGATGACCCCGCCTTGGATTGATCGCAGTGATCCCCCCACATGTGCGTAATCCCCCCCCTTCCCGCTTTATCGAGACGAAATTTCTTCGAAACTTTGTTCTGATCGAAACTTCAAGACTTTATGGAGAGTGGGGATATTTTCCCCGACTTATCGAAAAGAAGTTTCTCGGAAGTTTCCTTCCGATGACCCCGCCTTGGATTGATCGCAGTGATCCCCCGACATGTGCGTAATCCCCCCCCTTCCCGCTTTATCGAGACGAAGTTTCTTCGAAACTTCGTTCTGATCGAAACTTCGAGACTTTATGGAGAGGGGATATTTTCCCCGGTAACAAAGCGCGCGTTACTACTCTGATGTTCAGTTCTCGACCCTGAACAATCAGTGTTAACTACTTTACAACCCTGAGCAATCAGGGTACTGCTTTTCTGGAAAATGTGCACCCATAATAGAGGGGGAAAATTTTCCCCGGAATCAGGGAAGCTTAAAATGAAACGTCAGCCCTGCATTCTGTGTAAAAAAAGGGGGTGTTATAAAAAATCACCCCAAAAGGGGGGGTATAGTACAAACGGGGTCAACTATAACACCCACCCCGCACAAGCCACCCGGGGGGTCTACAATTTCGGCGGGTGGTATGTCCGGGTGATTACGGTACAAGCTTTTTATATGATTACAGAGGAATATGAAAGTTCTATTTTAACTGTTTTTGCTGTTGCGGTTCGATACAGTGCCGACTCGGGTAACTGCTCCATAACGAGTCAGTTATGTGTCCTTACTGTCGCACTGTACGTTTCGTCAGGTCAAAGGTCTCCGACCTTTGACCTTCGCGCAACCTCCGACGGTTGCCTTGGTTGACTCAAGTGTTTCTTCGCTGTAGTCAGTTCCGTTTTGTGTCGAAGCTTTGATACGACAGAAGCGTTATAAATCACTTGTTTCCAACACTTGCCATGCTTGTACATATTGTGAACACCAGCATTAATGTGTACTGATCTTTCTCACATGTCAACTGTTGCCACATGTGCTGTGGACCAAGAACACACATCTGTATGATGTGCTGTGCTGTTTCCATCACATCAAACCAACGTTTCTGCAACTAACCTACACTCTGCTGCTCCTGCACGCGAATTAGCATGTAAGCAGTTCCTCACATCACATGACTACAAAACCGAGACAAAAACGCGCTGCCGTGCACCACGCTACTCAGTGTGTGCCAGCAGCGACAGCACCTTGGCTGCATGAGCGTCTCTCGACCCAAACAGCGGCTGCATGTCAGCAGGCAACCACGCCTCATCCACCCTCCACGCCCCTGCCCCACTGCCTCCTCTTCCCCCCCTCCCTCCTCCCATCCCTCCACCCCCCTTCTCCACCATCTCCTCCCCAAACGTCTCTGCAATGCGGTACAGAGCGGTGCGCACCACATCTGCCATGGCCCATGCCTCGCCCCACACCGGCCCCACCACCCCCTCTCCGTACACCGCTCTCCCCCCCGCCCCACCCCCTGCTCCCACGCCTGGTACGGCCGAGCCACCTGCTTCAGCACCTCCATACCTAAGACCGAGGGTTGGTGTGCCAAACAATCCCCCACTTCCCGAAGCTAGAGCCGAAGTCTGGTGGAAGTGGGCAGGTTGAGAGGCACCCGGAGGAGTCGCTTGCGAGGAAGCTTCCCCGAAGCCAGAGAAGGTGGCGGGGGTGGCGGGGTGGCGGTGGGAAGGGGAGAGGAGGAGGTGATCGAGGGCGAGCAGCGCGGACAGCAGTGAGGAGAGCGCAGCAGCGTTGGCGCCCGCCATCTGCGCCACGCCCATGCGGTCCTCCCCCCGCGACGCTGCTGTCAGCGCTGCCAGCGCCCGCATGCTCATGGCGCACAGCTGGTGTGCGGGGGAGAGATGGAGGGGTGTGGAGGAAGTGGAATTAGGATTGAAGAGTTGCGGGTGGATGAAGGCATCGCATTTGGGTCACCACCCCACCTGCCACCACCCCACCTGCCACCACCCCACCTACCACCACCCCACCTGCCACCACCCCACCTGCCACCAGCCCACCTGCCACCACCCCACCTGCCACCAGCCCACCTGCCACCACCCCACCTGCCACCAGCCCACCTGCCCCACCTGCCGCCCTCTCACCTGCCGCCCTCCCACCTGCCGCCCTCCCACCTGCCGCCCTCCCACCTGCCGCCCTCCCACCTGCCGCCCTCCCACCTGCCGCCCTCCCACCTGCCGCCCTCCCACCTGCCGCCCTCTCACCTGCCGCCCTCCCACCTGCCGCCCTCTCACCTGCCGCCCTCTCACCTGCTGCCCTCTCACCTGCCAGTCGAAGAACACCTCAGCTGCGCTGGGCGCTCTCCTCCTCCCCTCAACCCCCCTCACGCCCATTCCACTCCCCCCTGCCCCCTCTGCCCCGCCACGATCTGAGCCCGCTCCTCCATTCCAGCCCTGACCCCCGAACCCCCCATATGCGCCGTTTCCCCCAACCCCTCCCGCTTGCAGCGCCTGCCCCTCCATCCCCTCCCCTCCGCTCTTCCCCTGCCGCCATCTCATCCCTTCAGCAGAGACAAACCCGGCTGCAGTGACTGCAGCCGTGGGTGACTGCAATGAGTACTGCTGCTGCTGCTGCTGCTGCTGCTGCTGCTGCTGCAGCACACCTGTAACGGTGGGGTAACCAGCGGCAGCAGCCACCCTGAGCGTCATGCCATCGACGGGGCGGATGCACGCCGCCACCACCGCGCTGTACGCCTCCTGCGACTCATACAGCGCCGCGCGGCGCCACGTGTCAGCCTCTGATTCGGCGAGCAGCGAGAGGTCGAGCAGCGCCCAGTGGAGCACGAGGCGGGGCAGGGCGGGGGGCGCGGGCAGTGCGAGGAGGGGCAGGGGGGATGGGGACGGAGGAGGGGCGGGGGCCGGGGAGGGGGAGAGGGCGAGGAGGAGGGGGGCGAGGGGAGAGGAGGGGGAGGAGGGCGGGGAGAGGAAGAGGTGGCGGTGGGTGAGGAAGATGTTCGTGGCGGCTGCAGCGGCCTCCCAGGCGAAGGCGAGGAACGCCACGGCGTGCAGGCGGGCGAGCAGAGAGAGCAGCAGCGCGCGGATGGACAGAGGCAGGGCGGTGAGGAAGGGGAGCGGGATGCCGGTGGCGGTGGTGGTGGCGGTGGCGAGGAGGGGCAGCAGCAGCGGGCGGAGCAGGAGGGAGTAGAGGAGGGCGGTGATGCACCCGAATGTGGCTGCTGATGTGGCGCAGCGCGGGAGGGTCGTCTTGAATCGGTAGAACGGGGCGCGCTGTAAGGGGTATGGGGGATGGCATAGAGAGGGCGGCAATAGGGTTGTGGGTTTAGAGAGGGATAGAGAGGTGAGTCATGGAGTGCAGCGCTGCCGCGCCAACTCCCAACTCTCAGCTTCCCTCGCCTTGCAGCCGTGCACCACGGCGGCAAGGGAATGAAGGCGCATTTGTGGAAGAGACCTACGCGTGGGCGGGGTGAAGCACAGCTGCGCGGCGCACCTGCAGCACGGGGAACGCGAGGAGGTAGTCGCGCCGCACCACGTGGTACGCCGCGAACAGCACCCCCACCGCGCCGCCGAATCCCGCCTCGCCCGCCACGGCCCAACCGTCTGGCCGCCACGCGCCGTTGGATTCGATCTCCACCGCGCCGCCCAGAAGCTGTGCGCGGAAGAGCGAGAGCGCGATCGCCCCTGCGGCGCCCGCCGCGGCGCAGAGTGAAGCGAACTTGGCGCGGCCCGCCAGCGTCGCCCTAGCCGCTTCCGCCTCCCATTGGCTGGCGGGCCCGCGAAACCCGCCGTGCACTGCGCGAATCTGTTGGTCTTGGTGCACGAACGGGCGTGGATCCGATGTGCCGGAAAATCCGGCGAGATTCGCGGCGGAAGCGAGGAGGGAGGCAGTGGAGGGGAGGGGAGGGGCATCTGCGACGACGATGGCGTGGCGAGCTAGAACGAAAAGAAGTTGCGAAAGATCGAAAATCGCGAAAGCGAGGTAGAGGCGCAGCGAGAAGAAGGAGAGGAACGTGGGGAGGAGGCCCGCGCGGAGGACGAGCGGCGCGGCCCAGAGGAAGAGGAAGGGGCCGATGGAGAGCAGGTGGAAGAGAAACGCGCGCGCCCAGCGGCGATGCACGACGTCGCGATACATCGCCTCGGGGGGCGTGCTGGCGACGGCGGGAATGTGCTCCATGACGAGATGCGATGCGATTACGACGAACAGAGGGATTACGCTGGACTGCCTTGGAACGGGAGGAGGGAAGCCATGGTTGAATGCAGGAATCGCTGGGCAGTCAGCCGCGACTGCTGCCTTGCCAGAGGTGCTTCATATGCAACGAGGGTGTGTCAGATCCGCTAAAAGCTGATTTCGCTGGTTTATAGTCTACCATATGGTCTAATACAGCTTTCGCGAAATCAGACTCCGTGGTCTATTTTGTAGTCGACCATCCTTTTGGCCGCGATACAAAATCTGACACATTTGGTGGCCGATTTGCAGGAAGCTGTATCGAATGTGTCAGTTTTGCAGGGCGTTTGGTGGCCGGATTGTGCGACGGAGTTGCACATCTCAACAATACAACATCAGTGACACTGAAAATATCTGGGTAAAATACCCTTTTTACCCTGATGGGCGGCCGCTTTTTCCCAATTACCCTTGCAAAAACAAGATATCAATTTTTTTACCATACAGTAGAAAGGCTGAGTTTTGGTTTACACTGCTACCGTCAGCCTCCGGATAGAAGCGCCCCAAGGAGTATAAAAAACACTGTTTTTTAGGGGGTGTGCTTATAATCGAGGAATTTTACAAGCAACGGCGTTTACAAAATGGCAAAAGGAATTTCTATCCGTTTTACACCAAACTGTTGATCTCGTTCTGCCGATTGTAATCGAGTCTAAAACATATAGGGTCACGAATCTGATTCTCGCGCAGCTTGGGAGGGAGTTATTCCCTGCCAACTCAAACTGACAGAATGACAGCACATGCTGACTAGACACGCAAAAAGTGAGATCAGAGTGTGGGAAATCGAATTTGTAGTTCGTTTTGTCAGAAGTAGTAGGAGTACGGCCTAGGCTTAGTAGCCTAGGCCACAGTAGGACTAGTAACGAGGAGCCAAGTACGAGCTAGGAATGTGTGTAGGAACAGAATTGAGAAGGAATGATTGAACTAGCAAGCAGCAAGATACAAATAGCAAACCCTAAGGGGCTGTACTCACTATTGAGTACCCCACTGCAGGCTACACAAACAACATATTCTGACACACCCCCATAGCCAAAGTGGGGTGTAATCAGCACAATGAGCAGTCATAGCAATAGTTCATAAATATGAGCAAAGCTAGTGGTAGTCACAGCGGGCAAGTGAGGAGGAGGAGGGACTGTGAGAGGAGAGAAGATGGGAGGCGACGATTGAAGCTGCAGACAGACGGGCAACAGAAGCGGCTGACACAGTGGCGGCTGACACAGTGGCTACCGAGACAGAGCGCCCCGGAATACTGGAGTAACTGGCTCTGCGGCTACGACGAGCGGCAGAAGCAACGGACCCACGGGCGACTGGTGCAGCAGGCTCTCAGTGGCTACCGAGACAGTGCGTCCCGGAATACAGGAGTAACAGGCTCTGCGGCTGCGACGAGCGGCAGGAGCAACGGACCCACGGGCAACAGGTGCAGCAGGCTCTCTGAGCTACCAGGACAGTGCGCCCCGGACTACAGGTGCTGCGGACGACAAGACAGCAGCCTCCACTCAACCTCCCCCAACAGTCCCACACCCCTCTCACACACCCCCTGTTTCACCCCTAGCTCCATTCCTACATCACCCCCCTAGTGCCACTCCCCACGACTCCCACACCTCCACCCCCCTCAGCGGCAGCTGCAGCAGTGGGAGACGAAAAAGGAGGAGGGGAGAACCCACACCTCTCACCCCCATGCTCGCCACCCCACACCCCAACCACTGCGGAACGCACGGTGGAATGGGAGCAATGGGCAGCACGGATGGGGGGGGGGGGGGGGGGACGGGACGGGCTTCTGCAGGGGCGGCTGCTGCAGGTGCGGGCTGCTCCAGGGGCGGCTGCTGCAGGTGCGGGCTGCTCCAGGGGCGGCTGCTGCAGGTGTGGGCTGCTCCAGGAGCGGCTGCTGCAGGTGCGGGCTGCTCTAGGGGCGGCTGCTGCACTGGCGGGCGGCTCCAGGGGCGGCTGCTGCAGGTGCGGGCGGCTCCAGGGGCTGCTGCTGCAGTGGCGGGCGGCTCCAGGGGCGGCCGCGGGGGGGGAAAACGCACGGCCCCCAGGGCGCCCCGAGGGGCGACGAGAAGGGAGCCGCGCGGCCCCCCCGGGGCGCCGCGACGGGCACCAGGGAGGGCGCCGCGACGGGCCCCCAGAGCCACCTCGACGGGCGACGGGGAGGGCGCCGCGCGGGCCCCCCGAAGTCGCCTCGACGGGCGACGGGGAGGGCCGCGCACGGCCCCCGAAGTCGCCACGACGGGCGACGGGGAGGGCGCCGCGCACGGCCCCCGAAGTCGCCTCGACGGGCGACGGGAGGGGACCGCGCGCGGCCCCCGTGGTCGCCACGACGGGCGACTGGTGGGGAGGCCGCGCGGGCCCCCAAGGTCGCCTCGACGGGCGACGGGAGGGGAGGCCGCGCGGGTCCCCGAGGTCGCCTCGACGGGCGACGGGGGGGGAGGCCGCGCGGGTCCCCGAGAGCGCCTCGACGGGCGCTTCGACGGGAGGGGACCGCGGAGGCCCCCCCAAGGGCACCACGACGGGCGCCACGGAAGGGAAAACCGCCAGGCGCCCCGAGCGCGCGGCGGGCAGAAATTAGGGTTTCGCCGCCGCGCACCACGGGGCGCGCGGCGGACAGTACGGCAGCGGAAGCGGGTGGTGGGCCCATACACAGGAAGGCGGCAGACATGCCGCGCTCTGATACCATGTCAGAAGTAGTAGGAGTACGGCCTAGGCTTAGTAGCCTAGGCCACAGTAGGACTAGTAACGAGGAGCCAAGTACGAGCTAGGAATGTGTGTAGGAACAGAATTGAGAAGGAATGATTGAACTAGCAAGCAGCAAGATACAAATAGCAAACCCTAAGGGGCTGTACTCACTATTGAGTACCCCACTGGAGGCTACACAAACAACATATTCTGACACGTTTCCCTGATAATGTGAAATTTGTTTCTGTATTTCGTCAGGTTTTCAAATGAAAAACCAACATGCGCTTATAATGAGTCATCTTTTTTTATGGGGTGGGCTTATAATCGAGGACCGGATATAAGCGCCGTCATCCTTTTATAAGCGCCGGCGATTATCCGAGGCCTGCGCTTCTAACCGGGGGCTTACGGTAACGATTTTGGTTACACTGCCAGTATCAGAGTGCGTAGTACATGTCAAATTAACAAACAAGAATGAATGCATTGAACAGAAGTTGGGTACAAGTACTAACCCTAATTGGGTTGTACCCCTTATGGGCTACCCCACTATAGCCTACACAAATGTAAGCACTATAACATTCTGACACACCCCCATAGGCAGAGTGGGGGAGAATAAGAGGTCACAAGACCAGTCAAGAAAAGCAAAGCAAGCTCAGGGTGGATCACAAAGTCACCACACAGTCCGAGCACAAGCAAAGGGCCACAAGGCCAGTTCACATGCATAGTTATATAAAAGAGAACAAACAATACAGTGATCATACCCTAGCAAGTGTAAGCATGCAGGTATATATATAGATCACAGTACAAGCAAAGTCAAGCAGTGAGCAAGTGAGGCAAAGTAGGCACACGGCCTAACACAGTAGAGAAGCGCTGATGATAACCAGGCGGAAGTGCCTTGGTGAAAATATCAGCAGTGTTGGCCCTAGTGGCCATGTACGCAAGACAAAGCTGGCCACGCTGTTGCAACTCTCGAGCAAGGAAGTATCGCAAACCGATGTGCTTCGTTTGGTGCTCCAGTCTGTGCTCCCGACACAAGGCAATCATGGCCTTGTTGTCTACGTACAGAACTAGAGGCGAACGAGGCTGCTCTCCCAAGTCAGTCAACAGGTAGGTGAGCCAACGAAGCTCCTTTGCAGCCATGGCCCCTGCGTAGATCTCAGCCTCACAACTGGAGCTGAGAACCAAAGACGAGTGCGTAGACTGCCAGGAAACATAGCCGGAACCGAGGCTGAAGGTGTAACCCTGTGACGACCGCTGCGTAGCTGAGTCGTCAACCCAAGAAGCGTTTGCGTGACCAGTGAGGACAACTGGACCCCGTCCTCCAAGCACGAGCCCCATGCCTGACGTACTGCACAAGTAACGCAGTACCCTCTTCGCAGCATCCCAGTGCATCTTTCGGTGCCGACCGGGAGCCACGTAGCGAGCCAGAAGGCTGAGAGGGTGCGCAAGGTCAGGTCATGTGCACGTCATCAAGTACATGAGGCAACCCACAAGCTCTGGGTGCGGACCACTCGGCTCTACGGACTCGTCCGAAGGTGGAGCTGAGAGCGAGTGGCTGGTAGACAGAGGAGTGGGCTGTGGCGAGGAGAACTGGAAGCCGAAGCGCTAAAGGAACTGGTGCACCATATGTGACTGAGTCAGGGTAATGGTGCGCCGAGCTCTGTCCCGGGTGATCTGCAAGCCAAGATAGCTGCGCAGTTCACCCAGGTCAGTGCAGGTGTGTCTCTTCTGCAGCTCGGACTTCACAAGGGTCAGTGCCTCAGTGTCAGCAATGGCAAAGACAAGGTCGTCGACGTACACTAGGACGTAGAACGGCGACAGTGAGGTGTCGGTGCATAGAAACAGCGACGGGTCTACTGTAGAAGGAGCAAACCCAAGAGCCGCAAGTGTAGTCCTGAGTGTGTCGTGCCACTCGCGAGGCGCCTGGCGGAGACCGTAGACTGGCCGCCGGAGGCTTCACTGGGTATCTGCAGGAAACGACCCAGTGAAGCCAGGTGGGCGGCGCAGCCAGATCTCCTCGTGCAGGCTGCCCTGCAAGAAAGCTGTACTGAAGTCTAGAGAGTGCAACTCGTAGTCACGCTGAGCAGCGGCGTGCAGTAACACCCGAAGAGTGGTCATCTTTGGGGTGGGGGAGAAGGTCTGGAAGTAGTCAACCCCCTGTCGTTGACTGAAGCCTCGAGCAACGTAACGCGCCTTGAAGGCAGGCGGAGAACCCGGCGGCCGCTTCACCCTGAAAATCCACA